TGACACGCCCGGACGGCGAGCTGGGCGAAATTGAGCGTCGAGTCCGTCGTGAACACGATCTCGTCCTGTTCGCTCTCTGTAGGCTTCCCGACCGGAATAGGCGTCGGCTGGTGCGGCGATAGCAGGGAAGAGCGTCGGGTAGTGAGCTGGGAGACGAAATGGTTGATGAACGTCCGCGCCGCAAGGATGTTTCCATTCTGCAAGTATCTAGGGCGGTAACGGGTCAGATTCTGCGGGGTTGCGTTAGACGGAACCGCAGCTTACGGTATCGTTCCGCGCAACGCAAACGGCCCTACCGGCCCATCTGGGTTAGTCCACTCGACAAACATCTCAGCAAGGACGCGGGCGCTGTCCCGCTTTCCCGCCGACAGGAGATGAGGCTCCGCCGCCGCAAAGTTGCCCTCTGTGTGTGTGCGAGTCCGAATGCCAAGGATCCGATGAGCGTCGGGGCGGCCCCAAGCGAGCGCGCGTACGTACCTTTGTACAGAAGCTCTCCGACATAGTGGTGGAGATCAGGGTCACCGGCGGGGTGTGGTCCTGCCTTTGCGGACCAACTGGGCACTGTCAGGGCGACCCTTCCAGGCGATTGAGCTGGAACCCTTACGCGATGGCCTTGTCAATTATCGTCTTGCGCCATGAGCCCGACGGGCCCGCCAGTGCGATCAGCTGAGTGAGGCGTCCTGCGCGTTCGGCTCAGAGGGCAGATCTATGGCTATGGATGGTAGAATGAAGGCACTGACCTCGGCTCTCGTCGTTTACAGTCTCGCCCTTGCTCTCGTACACGTCCAGCAGGAACGTCGTAAGATCCGTACCGCTACCTTGTTGCCCCACTTTCAGCAACTCCCTGGCCGACTGGAAGAGCACGTCGATCGCGGTATCGTATTGCTTGGACTTGTTGTAGCGCGACGCGAATGTCCGCGCCTTCTGATGTGCCTCGTACGGCTGTCCCGAGGCAATGAGAGGCAAGATGGCCTCTAGGGCGCGAGCGGAGGACGTTGCCCTGGCAGGAGGCATTGTGTCGGCTAACTCGAGATCGAGCTATTGAAGGTAGTCGCTTAGATACAGAGAGAGCACGCTTGCGATGTTCAAGATTGCAGGCTTATTCGAGTACGTTGCCGAGAACGAGCTAGTCGTCGTGATCGTCGTTCACGGTGCTGACGGCTGCGGTGCGCTCTCTGCCGGAGTCGGAGTGTCGGGCGCCTGTAGACTAGCGCCGAAAGGGATAGTGGGCGCCTGTGGGCGCGGACATCTGAATCTCAGCTTGACCCCACAAGTACTGGCACCTGGCACCAGACCGGGCAGCACCGTCCTGACCGCCACCTTCAATCAAGGGTCGATACTTGTCTCTCTCACGTTCAGCCTATCCTGCTTCTGGATAGGCAACGCCATAGCCTTTGCTAGTCTTGTGCTCCATCCAGCAGATTTTCTAGTGTTGGCCGTAGTGAGGCGGATCACATTCTACACACCTTTCCGATCTCGCCTCAGATTGGAAACCGCCTCGACACAAGACATCCGGCGGAGCGTGTCCACCTCGCGTTAGTCCCTGGTTCTCTTTGCGTCTTCTGTAGAAACACGCATCTGCAGTACAGATCGCCAAAAATACTAGTCGCAGTCTATTGTGCTCATCTCGGCCTGCGGAAAACCCCTGTAACCTGGCACTAACTGGGCCTCAGAATACTCCAAACGAACGCGGACGCTGCTCGTCGACCATGCCCATCTGCACGAGCTGCGCGCAGCCAACAGCATACTTGTACACGGTGTACAACTCCGCATACAACTTCCGCCTGGAGCAGTGCGTCAGTGACCTCCTCCCATTTAGCCTATTCGAGCATCATGCTCGAACCGCCTTCTTACTCGGACGGGGATGCTAATCTGGCTTCGCGCCTCGGCCGCGACATAGACCGCCTGCCACGCGTTCGCAGACCCGTATGTCGAGCATGACACGCTCACCCTCCTCCTGGACCTGATTCTGCTGAAACGGGACGTCTATCGCCACCTTCTCTACAACCGCGGCCTGGGCGCCCGCAAGGTGGGCCACAAGACGCCCGCGAAGGCAGAGGACAGCTCGACGCGCCCCTCCGGCCAGGTCCGTCACAGCGCGCGGGTGAGTCTCACGCGATGGCCGGTCGCGCCCTCTGCTGAGCACTCCCACTTCCTAGTCCAGGTGGTGGCTCATCGCCAGGCTGGGGAGCGCCCTGATCTGCGTCGATGCCTGTGAGTGACTGATCCACTGTGCGTTCGAACTGTGCGCTCCGGGGGCTCATGTGTGCATGCATCGCAGTCATCCGCTGGACACACATCAGTGAGCCTGGCATGCTCTAGGGTCTGCGTCGCCTCGCAGCTGACTGGGGTCCTCCGTCAGGCTCGAGCCACCCCGGTGACATCTCCGAGATGGCAACATGGAATCGCGCCGCCATTGCAGGGTTCGTGCGCATCCTCGTGGGCTGTTTCTTCGGTAAGCCGTTCTCTCTGGAAGCGTGCGCCGTCAATTAAGGCACATGTCTAATACCAGCATCTATTACTGCCGTGCAGAGACAGCTGCATTTCACGCTGGCGTCGTCCTCGCCTGCTACGCCGTCCTGAAGCTCCTTCCGTCACCCAGGTCGCCCGTGTCAGGCATACGGGAGCAATTTAGGTGGGTGTCGCTCTCTCTCGTTATTGACGGACGCCGAGCGATCTGCAGCCGCCAGAATATCGCACCGTGCGAGACATCCTCTGCATGGCGATATGAAACATGTCCGCGCTCCGTCTCAGCGGAATTGCGATGAGACGCCGATGCTCACCCGTTCCGCATGCACAGATACTCCCACATTCCGCTCACGCTATTCTACTCGTCGCTCACGAAGCTCTTCCTGCTCTTCTGCCTCTCGGTCTGGCGCCCGGACGCGACGAAGGCGGGCTTGGCGACCCACGCACGGCCTCACCTTCACCCGAACGCGACAACATTCACGCACCCGGTTGTAGTACGAGCTCTCGAGCTGCTTGATGAGGACAAACTCGACCGAGAGTGGGTCGTCCGGAATGTTCTCGGCGGCATGGCTGCAGGCTTCGGGCTGCGAGGTATGAACTTTGTTCAAGGGCTTCAATGGTACCGTTATCTTACTGACACCGTATGCAAAGTCGTGCTCGACTGCCACCCAATCCTCACTACAATGATCATCATCGCAGGATGGCTGGTAAAAACCGCCGTGGCAAACCTTGTCAGTGGATGGGTGGGCACGGGACTAGGGGTTGACGATAAAGCTGCCGAGGAAATGTGGTTGGCGTACAGTATCCCGTAGCATCATCAGTTTCATTGGTTGAACGTAAAGCGACATAACGCTGATAACAGAGTACGGTCAACACATTAGCGCGCAATTCGCGTAAGTTCAAGCAGAACAACCAATAGGTGGTGAGTAGAACGACAGCCAATAAGGGTCCATCAGAAGGTACGCCAGTGGCGCGTGTTTTCGAGGTGTAGTACGGCCGAGGACACTTTAGAAGACGAAAGGGAACATGGCCTTCCTGCTTGCGGGGTAGTCCTTCCCGAACTCCTTCTTGTAGTTCTTGTGCTTCTTGATGGCCCAGACTGCCATCTGGTACGTGCCAACGACCAAGAAGAGCCAAGCTACGAGCCAATCGTCGGTCAGCGCTCGCCGTCAACTTGAGCCGGTATGGGAGTGAGAGATGCTCACCAGCATAGCTGCCGGTCATGACAGCGATGACAGTCCACGCCACGGTCTCGAAGAAGTAGTTCGGGCATGACACGAGCGAAAAGCCGTAGCCATGCGGGATCGCACGTTTCGTCGTACCTGCCGGGCGGAGGCTGCGGAGAGTGAGGTGGGTACTCAGATTGGAGAGCTCTGCGAACTGTTCCATGCGAAGGGCCGATCAGAATGCGGGAAAGCGTCCGCCAAAAGCGACCGGGAAACGTACCAGCCAGACGGCGAGACAGGACCATAGGAAGTTAGGGTTCTCGCGGATGGTGCCGCGAATGTACGGTGAATTCGCAGCGTACGTCGGGCTGTAGACCGAGTACGCGAGCAAGAGACCGGAGAGGATGTGGTAATGCCCGGAGCTAATGGAGAAGACGCGTCAGAAACCCGTCCCATGGTAAGGAGACAGCAATAAGCCTACTTCTTGAAGACGTTGCGGAATGGCATGGTGCCGTGAGAGAACCGGTGGACGAAGAGGGTCTCGAGCTCACGCTTGATGAAGTGCAGCATGACAGCGGCGTACACGTATCTGGGATAGGTTCAGTCTCGACCGCCATCCCGCTGCTTCAGTGATGCAAGTTCGGGAACCCACTTTTGCAAGACGCTGTGCTGGACAGCACCTCCGAAGAACAGCCTCGGGAAGTGGTATACTAAAGGGTGGATGACGAGAGGGCCGGCCTGCAAGGAAGACGCGTCAAAGCGCGTCAATGTCGCGTCTAGTCGTTAGGAGACGATGTAGAACGCACATATTCAATGAGGTATACGGTTCTCCAGCCAATCTGCGGGCCCAAATCCTTGACGGTTACTTCGGAGCCATCTCCGACGCCGGCTTCCTTCAATGTCGTGTTGTCTGCCAGTGGTTTGCTCTCTCCCTTGAGCGTGAGCCTTTGACGAGACGGGTGGAACTAACAACTATGAATTTAGACTACTTGATGTTAGTAAATGCAACGAGGAACCTGCCTTGGGGTTCTTAGCAGTGATGGCCTTCTTCAAGTCGTGAACAGTGTGTTCATGCATAGGCTTGTCGAAAGTGATGAAAGTCGGAAGGTTCCGCGCAAGTGGCGTAGACTTTGCCGCAGACACCTTAACAGAAGCCATGGGTTTGTTGACACTGTAGCAGCAAGAGTGGTTTGAAGTAGTGTAGAACGTCAGAGAGAGCGTAAGATTAGGAATCCCCTGGGATAGACTCTCGCTTCAGTGCCGGTGCGTCCAAGCGACAGCGTCGACGTCACGTCTGGCAAGGTCTGGGCACGCTGCCAAAATATTTTTGCGCGTCTTGGTTATCTGGGCTTTTGAGTTTAGCATGAACCCTTGGCACAGTGGTAGCGCGTGAGATTCCAGTTGGCTGGAGCAATCCGCCTGAGGGAAATCCTCAAGGTCGTCCGTTCGATCCGGTCAGGGTTCACTTTTTTGTTCTCTTTTTTCAAGGCGTTTGACACACTTTTGGTGCTTCAAAAGGATCTCAAAATATACCTCTTATCTCAACCACTCTTCTCCCAAAAGCTCAGAGTTCTAACATGGAAGTTGATGCCACTAGAGAGCTCACAGTGCGAGGCAGTCTGGGGAACATGAGCAGTACTTGGCGCTGCATATCCTTGACAGACGCCGGAGGGCCACCTTTTAACTTTTACCTCCACAGATAATCGACCCCGTCCTTGGACCTGTACGCTGTGCTCGTGCTTTCTCATCTAAACCTACACGTCTCATATCTCCATGCAATCGCTCGGATGGAGGTCCTTGTCATTATGTACTAGCAGACGGATTCCACTGGCCCGGATCGTCACAAGAAGGTGTTATTCGCAGCGAGATGGATTGCCTCTTCCTCCTCCAATTCCCGTGCTCCAAAATGCGTCTCAAAGTGAGGAAGCACGAACTTGGATAGAGCAATTCAAATCAAAGGAGATTCCAAAGAGCCTAGTCGAACTGACTTATTCGCGGAGCTCTGGGCCGGGAGGTCAGGTTCGTGCGCTGAGCATATACTTATAGCACATGTGCCTGATTGGTGTATTTGGTAGAACGTCAACAAAGTTAACACGAAGGCTACCCTGAGATGTCCAATACATGCTTCCTGGATTCCTGAGTGGGCGCGGGAATACCTCAAGAAAACAGTGTGTACCATGCTCAAGTCCGCCGGTGGTGGACATGCTCATAGGTTCTTCGATGTTCTCGTCTAGCCGTCGTACGTTTCGTCATCCCAGTCAATATTGCTCACGTCGACCGTGCATCGCTCGCAAGCCCAGAATGTGCAAGAGTGCCTTGCCAAGGCGAGTGTGCCCCTGGCGGCTCCGCGTGTGATGTAATGGCTCATCCTCCGATCGCCACAGCTGCACGCGCTGGTGATGTCCGCCGCATCCGCTGGGCTCGTGAATGAGCCTTCAGAGGAGCAAAAAGAGCGGGTGCGCTCTTTGCAGAAGGCAGAGAAGGCTAGACGACGCTTGGAAAAGGACAAGCGCAAGCAAGTCAAGCGTGGCCGTTCAGGAGGCGGCGATTGGGACTGAGGCGCATGACGCCGGGTCCGCATTATCTGGTGCTCCGCAGCACCCAAGCCACGTTGAGGCACTTGCAGTACCTGGACCAGAGGGCGCTGGGTATGCAGCGACGTACTCGTGCGGCGCAAGGTGGCTCGTCGAGTTCTATGCCGATGCCTCGTGTCGCTGCTCCCGTCCCGAGGGTCGAACAAGTGGAGTGGTTCAATATTTGCCAGATAACGATGTCTGCTCTGCGTGCATGTTCCTCCCCATCCTCAGCCCGCAATACACCAACGCTGTCCGCATTTGCCCTTCCGGACGCCGTGCTGCCCGCTCCAGTCTGACAGCTCTCCATAGCCTCCGTGCGTCGTATTCGATCATGTGACGTAGTTGACGATCGAGCCCGCGCCGTTCCCCCTCACACCGTCAGCCCGCCAGTCAGCCGCAGCTGCTCTCAAAAGCATTGTCCTACCCTCATTGCTCCCCACTTACTCCCCTTCTCATCTCCTTGCTCGCGATGAACCTCTTTGGCCGTTCTCGCAGGACTACCGAGCCTTCGATAGCAGACCCCAACTATCGCTTCGGACCACCAACGAGGCAGTCCTACTTTGCTTCTATCAAGGACGACGTCTGCGCTGCGCTGCTGGAATATGTCGGCACCACTTTCTTCCTCCTACTGGCTTATGGGGGCGTGCAAGCTTCGCAGAGCGAAGCGTTCTCTAGCAGCCAGGTCTCCAACATCGAGCGCGACATGTACATCTCCCTTTGCTTCGGCTTCAGCCTGCTCAGTTCCGCGTGGCTGTTCTATCGAGTGACGGGAGGCCTGTTCAACCCCGACGTCAGTCTCGCTCTCCTTCTCACCGGCGTTATTGGTCCGGTCCGATTTGTGCTGTACTGCATCGCACAACTGCTCGGAGGCATCACCGCCGCTGCCATCATCTACGCTCTCACCCCAGGGCCACTCGCGTCAAAGTAGGTGTTGCATGATGTCCGTTTCCGTGGATGCCTAACTAACGTGTTGCTTGCCAACTCAGTACATTCCTCGCACCAAACGTCAATCGCGCACAGGGTGTCTTCATCGAGATGTTCATCACCAGCGCGCTTGTCCTCGCCATCCTCATGTTGGCAGCGGAGAAACACAACGCAACGCCATTTGCACCGGTACGTCTCATGAGTTCGCAGCACAGAATGAGCCGAACAGAATGCTCATCATGTCGAACAGGTCGGGATCGGGCTCACTCTGTTCGTCTGCCATCTGTACGTCTTCCCTTCTTTCGAAGAGGGTACATTTACTGAGCTGTGACCGTAGTTGGGCTGTGTACTACACTGGCGCAGGCATGAATACCGCGCGTGCGTTCGGCCCCGCGGTCGTGACTGGCTTCCCGTATGACAGTCACTGGGTGGTACGTCTCCATCGTTGCTCCGAGCACCGACCCGCGATCTGACGCGTCGCACAGTACTGGCTAGGACCGTTCCTTGGCTCGCTTCTAGGTTCCGCGTTCTACAGCATCCTGAAGCAGTACGTCATCTTCGCCCGATCCCCCGCTTCCGCTTCCGTGCTGACTGTGCCCGATGCTGCGTCGCCGCGACAGCATCAAGTACTGGCGATTCAATCCCGGACAGGACACCGTTGACTTCCGTGAATCGCCCGCTGATCCGGTCCACAACGTCAAGACCGCCGTCCGTCGCTCGATCTCGTCCGCGAGTCGTGGGCGCAGCAGCTCGCGCAGCCGAAACGGCTCCGACGGCGACGCTGCGCGGGACAGGGAGAAGCGTGCGGCAGCGAACGACAGGCCGGATGCTGATCGGCTGGGCGAGCCACACAGGGGAAGGAGGCCGAACGACAGTGCGGTCTGAGAGATGTTGCCTCACGGAGACGTTACGAATATCTGACACGAACCGACACGACCGTTCATACCAATTAACGAACATCGCAAGTATCATTACTTTGTGTATCCAATATGGACGAGATCTACATACAGATGCTACCGAACTTACATTCAGCAATATGTATTTGTATCCCCTACCACGTTGTATGATCAGGAGAGTTGTGCACCCCGTTAACCGATGTTAGTGGCGGGGTGATTTCCTGGGACGTCAGTTCTAGGCAAGGGTATGACAGTGATGTGCGAGCGCCATAACGTTCACTGACCGTCGAGCATGCCGCACTTCATCTCACAATCCACACCAAGGATTATCTGATGAACGTGTCACTCGTATTACACGCTGCACGGGTCGTTACAATCTAACATGTCTATGACAACGTCTAGCGAGCCCTATCCCAAAGGTATCCTCGTTCATGCACAGTAGAAGCTATCGGCCTCGTTGGGGTCTCCACCCCGGTATTTGATGGTCGACGGATACTACAGCCATCGAACAGAGTCAGTGGCAAGCCCGCCCTCTCAATTGGTAAGACGTACCCTGCACAGCGGGCGGGTGAATCCGACGCCGTTGGTCACGTTGTTGTCCTTGTAGTTCGCGGCAGTGAGAGTATCGGGCGCGACGTCCTCCTCGACCCAGCGAACCATCGCGGCAAGGATATTGTGCTGGGGGTCGAAGGACAGCGGCGGGTTGTCGTTCGAAGCCTGCTCAACGGAGCCGAAGGCGTTCGCCGCGAAGCCACCCTGGTGGACCCAAATGACCGTCACAAACAACAAGGATGCGCCGCGAGGCAAAGTGCGAGACTTACGTGACTGTGCGTACGTACGCGTTAGTTGAGGACGTGATAAGGTACGATAGGCGGATGTAGAAGGGCGACGCACCAGTGGTTCATGCCAGGCACGAGGAACAGGCGGTAATAGTCGTCGATGTCCATGGTCGTGTTCGCGAGCGTGAACTCGTGGACGCTCTCATAGTAGTGGAGTGTATTTCCTGGGCTGATGAGCTGGTCAGCCCACCCGACGTACTGGATCAGCTTCCCGTTGTGCCCAGGTCCAGCGAACGCGGTAAGGTTGGGATTGATCGCCTGAAGAAGTGCAAGGTTCAGTCCGCACCGCGCGAACGTGGGCGTGGGCGGAGGCTTACGTTGGCTTGGCCAGGGTCTATCTGATCGGCCAACTTGAGCACAGACGCGTCGTAGTCGTGTATCGAGAACTTGGTATCGCTGTGGTCAAACACAGTTAGGGTATTTGCCTCATGCCGGCGCACTGCAGAGAACAGAGGAAAAGGGTCCCTTACTTCGTCACCATGTAGCCGAAGTAGTTCGTCCCGATAACAAAGTGCTTCTGACCGACGAGTCCGTGGTAGTACTCGGTCTCGCCGCCGGGATAGTAGCCCCCGAAGACGTAAGTCTGGTCCGCCTCGTAATAGTCTGCGTAAATGCGGCGAAGCGCGCTGATCTGACCCTCCTGCAGACAGGTCGACACGTTTTGGCCTGGGCGGCAGGTGAGAGTCTCGGGTCGGAAGCTATTTGGGTCCTCGGTGAGGGGCAAGGCCTTCTGCCCAGAATGTAGACGCACCTGCATATTCTGGGGTCGTTGATGATCCCGTCTTTGAGCTAATTCCACGCAACCCTATTGTCAAAAGGACTCAAAGTGTGAAGATCATGGTGACATACACCGTCCAGCTCGTCGCACTGTCGCATGACTTCCGGCGCAATGACGTTACTCCACATGTCCGCGGTCATAAAGTGACCGGACGTAGTTGGTTCGGTATTCAGATTCATGTGAACAGACCATGCTTGCAGGTGCGTCTGCCAGTTTGCGGGGGACCCTACAACCTACCACGAAGACTGGCGTGAGAACGTGCACATGCGGCGAAATGTGGCTCAGGGACTTACGACGCCGTCGAAATCATCTGGAAAGTCTTGCACCTCTTTCAGCCTGCAACAATTGTCAGAACAACCGCTGGTCTAGCGGGTGTGAAGATCGGACGTACCCTTGGCGCCCTCCTGGATCATCGCCGAAAACGTGAGTTGGCATTCACGATAGGACGAACG